CTTCCAAATCTGCGGAAGCTATGAAGCTGAAATTTTCGACAGTTTCAGCAAGTAAGTGGATCCCAAACGCAAAATAAACATTCACACCCTCTTACTTCTCAATTATGGAGACTTGGAAATTGACGCAGACAGTTTTTTAACTCTCTATAAAAAGTACATGCTTGCTTCGGTCCCCTGACAGGCGCCACATTTTTTCTGAGTAAGGAAGAGGGGGGAGGTGGCTGGTGAGGGTCTACACAAATAGTCTGGCTATTTCCAGCGACGTTGAGGTTGTTTCTTTCTTAAGGAAGTGATCGTCACGTTTCAGTCACTCGTTGGCTTGAAAATTCGTCCAGTATTAATTATCAGGCTAATTCTTACAACATTAATAAACTTGGCAAAAGCAGTCAACACATTACTTTGATAGTTCAGATCTTGAAATGTTTTTTCTAAGCATGATTTTAATTTTAAAATTTTTCGATTTTTGGAGAATTTCTTTATCTCTTTCGGCGACCTTTTAGAACCAGGGACTTCTTTTTTTTTAGCACGTACAGTGTTTCACAACATTTTGAGTAAGTACAGGTCTGTTCATGTTGCTGTTTTCTACCCGTTTACCTAAAGTATATGAAGCACTGACTGTTTCTGATCAGATCCGCCAAGAAAGCTCCTTTGTCTTTTTTTAACTCCACAAATCTAACCGTAATAAGCTCCTTTTTCAGGTGTCAGTAACGGTTGCTGCTTCAGCGCTGAATTCATTTCTTCGAACGGTCCTAGCAACTGTACTTAGCGAAAACACAGCTGATAGTGAAAAGCGACTTTTTTGGGGTGGTGTGTTCATACAGGTTAGAATTTAATTGTTTTTCCAGTTCCGAAGGTTTGCGCTTATGAGCTGCCCATGAATTTGAGTTTTGCGCTTCTGCCCATGTGTATGAAAATGGCAGCCACAAATTGGAAATAATGGGTAAGAGGTGGTAGCCTATTTGTCTCAGCGTATGAGTACGCATCTTAACAATATTGCAGGCTTACAGGCACACTAATAGTCTGTGTGGTTTTGTTGAGTAAATATCTAGGCTAAAGTTTTTTGCCTTAGCGGCAAAATGAGTTTTTGTTGTTTAAGGCGGCCATCCTTTTCTGAATTTGAGGAGAAACGGGAAAGTGCGTTTGCTGCAAACAC